GGGGCGGGGCGGGAGCGCGCGCGCCCTCAGGCGGAGCGGCGGCGCCTCAGGGCGGAGCGCGGCCCCGCGGAAAGGGCCGGATTTCCGCGCTGGCCGCCTGGAAAATCCCGGATTTCCGCGCTGTTCCCCTGGAAAGTGGCACGGAAGCCAACAGTGACCCGCCCGGAAGCCCCAGCTCGCCCCAGCGGCGCAGGTACGGGGCCGTCGCAGCGTCCGGCGCCTCTGAGGGGCTCCGGAGCCCCGCGTGTCTCCAGGGCCATCGTCCGGGGCTTGGCCGTGTCCCCTGAAATGCTCCAAGGTGCTCATTTGGCCTTCGAATATTTTAAATCGGCTTTTTAGACACCTGTGGCATGCGATGCTAAAGAGCCACAGGTGTCTAAAAAGCCGATTTAAAATAATAAAATAATAAAAAACCCCACAACATACTGCCCAAATCTCAGAGCTCACGGGATTCAAAAAACAGATCGGTGGTTCAGGAGATGTAAAAGTGTATAAATAAATTTCCCCAATAAGGATTTCATTTCAGTCCCACACATCATGGAAAGCAGCAGATTCTGCTGTGTGTCAGTGTCCAAATTCTCACTGCAGCTTCCCCACTGCCATAACATTTCTGTGGAAGTATTTTCCAGAATGGGCATTTTCCATCTCCATTACTGTGACATTACTAATTCCATTTCCTTAGTTGAGCAACATCCAGGGAATCCTCTGCTTTCCATGAATCAGCCACCCCCTAATTATTACTCAACCTCTACCAGGAGAAGCTGCATGGTGGATAACACTCCCTGTTACCTGGGCAGAAACCTCAGAGAGTCAAAAGCACTGATGAAAAACAATTAGAATTATTTCCCCCTTTATCTACATGCTAAATAAATAAAACTCTGAGCAATAAAAAGCAAAGATTCAATAGAAAAATACAAAATCTGCTGGCAATGTAGTACAGATGTAGGACTCCTGTCAGAGTTCTAACTTCAAAACAGACAACACTGTGCAACAGAATCCTTTTCAAGTTTTGCAAAACCTTATATGGAGTGACTTTTACTAGGAAAATAGGTCAAAACAAGCCAGTGAGAATGATTTCCACAAGAGGGAGTCTTTAAACGGAAAATGACCTGACTGTTGTGACACAGTTGCAGTCTGGTTTACTGCCTTGAAAAAAACACACTTCCCTGCTACTGCCCCAGATATTATTATATTAACACAGACACTGTAATGAGAGGTTTCAAAATCCAGAGTTCAAATATCACACACAAAAATACATCTATGGTTCAGTGCTGGGAGAGTCAGGACAGGCAGGGTGAGCTTCCCTGTTTTCACTAGATGGAATTGGTGACAGGTAATTAATTATTGCTGTTATCCGTGGGAAGGGCCAGGGGTGCACAGGCTGCCGAGGGTGGCAGTGGCAGATGGGAGCTGCAGCTCCTTTTGCAGGGGGAATTGCAAGCTGCAGCTCCTTTTGCAGGGGGAATTGCAAGCTGCAGCTCTTTTCCAGGGGAATTGCAAGCAGCAGCTCCTTTCCAGGGGGAATTGCAAGCTGCAGCTCTTTTCCAGGGGGAATTACAAGCTGCCCTTTCCCCCAGGCTGGCACAGGCTCCTCGGGCTCCCCGTGGGTTTGCTCACCCTGCTGCACCTCTCCAGTCACACTCACAGGGTGGCACTTCCCCCTGCAGTGCCCATGGAGTCATCTCAGCATTACTCAACACTTGGAAAATCACTGTGGTGGGCTCAGGTCACTTTAATCTGGAGTCTGCTCATGGGGAATTTTAATTGTGAACAGAAATGAGAAGCAGTTTGGGGTAGAATTACTTTTATTTCTTACCTGCAACAAAATTAAAAGCCATTACCTAAATGTGAGTGAGATTCAGCTTTTTAACTGAAATTCCCAAATATATTTTATGTAAAACTGCCTTCCTTCCTTTCTGAGGTGATGTAAAGGGCAGTACAGATTTGCTTCAAAACTCCTGCTTTTGAATCATTTTATATGCTCTGCTCAAATATTCCTACAAAGTTTAAAGTTAACAAAAGACATGAGAAGGATGGAGTAACAGCATCTGCATTTCTTTGGTTCTGTATTCTTGTGAGTGCTTGAAAGCTGCAGCAGTTTTTCAACAACAGTTATTGAGAAAAGGCTGACTTCAGCCCATTCATTGTGAACATCTGGACAGAACCTAACAACAGTAATTAAAACCCACTAAATTGGTAACAATACCAAATTGCCAGGGATGGAATCCTCCTCTGGGGTCCCACCCTTCCCTGTGGATTTCTGCTGGGTCACTCCACTCTTGAAAAGCCTTTTCCACGTGTCTCTTTCTGAGGCCTCTGTCAGGAGGGAATGGCATCCAAATGTTCTGCTCACGTGAGCCTTGCTCTTGGGTTTATTTCTGTACCACAAACCCCAGGAAAAGTAAAGACTGAGTTAATGCAGTTGATGGAAGGTTTGAGGATTTTCTTCTTTGCAAATAAATTACAAATCTGTAGGATCTGCTGCCTTCTTTAGAATGCATCCTTGTAAGAAAATAAATCTAAATATGATTAAATTACACACCAGCACTCATGAAGAGCATGGGGTTGAATGGAATTTTTTATCTGCAACACTTTGTTTTCCCTGAGGACAGCAGTTAGCAGGACAGACTGTCAGAATTTGAACTGTCAGGCCACAAACAGACAATAAAAGGTAGCTAAAGTCAGGTTTGTCTGTCTGTCTTCTTCCCCTGAAGCCCAGCTTCATCCTCTGGCTTTGCTCAAGTTTCTCTAGACAGAGTCAGAATGGAGAAAGACGGGATTTTTCAGGAACTACTTTGAAATACACTTCTGTGGGAGCTGATCACGTAACACTGGATTGGTCACAGATGACTAATTGATCTTTTCTTTTTGAGTTGCCCAGTTCTCCTTTCATCTCTTACCATTTCAGTTTTGTGGTGTCTGTAGAAATGTTCCTGTGGTCAAGGGTTTTTTTTAGTTCCTTCTTTATCTTCTTTAGTTCCTTCATCTCATGTAAAATAGGCAGCCCAAGCCCACTGGCACTTCTACAGCCTCAAAGCTTCAAATTAAACTGAATAATGCTAGAAGAACATTTGGCCAGTGGTAATTCTGGTGTCGGTAGATGCAGCTCAGCTGGATTCTCTCTGTCAGTATTTTGTGGGAATGGCAGTATGGAATGGAAGTGTGCCCCTTTCCACAGGAACTTCAACATTAACATTGAGGAATACTTCCAAATACATACAGCAGTGAGCCCACTTGGTGGGTCAGTGCTCACCATGACTCCTTTTATCCTGACTGAAGATAAATCTGAGCTTTACTGACTTCATTTGACTTATTTTGGAGTTCACCTTTCATCTCTGATGCCTTGATCATAATCCTCAAGCATTCATACTTCAATGTGTCCTTAGCAAGTAGCTTATATTTGAGCACAAACCCAAATTGTAGCGATAGAAATGCCTGCAGAATACCAGCATCTGCTTTTCGAAGGCATGCAAGTGCTGTGGTTTCCTGCCTGATATGACAACATGCCCAGAGACCAGATCCTGACATGCTGAAAGACTTTGTGAGTCAATCATCTTGCACAAGGCAAGGTCTGATCCCCACAGAGCTGCTTTGGGACAGAAAGCAACCTCTGGAGCCGACAGCAGCAGCCTGCAGGGGTTTGTGCCCCACCTCAGGGTGTTCCCCTGCTGAAGGACTCTGCAGTGCCACAGCACAAGGCTCCCTGGAAACCTTTCTGCCTTCCTCATCAATCACAGCAGTTTCTGACATCGAGACTCTCTTGGTTCTGCTCTGAACCTCTGTGGTCCCACATGTCACCCTCTGCACTGAGAGGCTGCTTCTTGGAAAGAAACTCCCTCAAATGGTTCAGCATGCCAAGGTCGCCTTTCTCCCCTCAGCAGGACAAGTGTGGCTGCATTTCCAGCTGAACAGTGGAAAAGGGGACCTAAAATGTCCATGGAAATATAACAATTTAACAGTGCTTAAACTAATTGAACACGGTGTTTTTAAAAGTAATTTTGCATTAATCATATTTGATGGTCAGGTGAAGAATTTTTGGTTTAGCTGTGTAATGATGTTACAAATGCATGACAGGATATGAACATGATGCAGAACATCAAGTAGATGAGTTATGGGAACAGGATCTGTGTTGTTGTGCAGTGTCAGTGCCTCTTTGTAAAGGATTAATGAAATGTTTGCTCCTGCCTTGGTTATGCACAGTTCTCCCAGACTTCAGAATCAAGATGGCAGACGGTTCTTAGCCCACCTAAAATATTCTGGTTAATAATGTTCTCATACACAAAAGCATAACAAAAAACTTCTTCAGTTACAGGCGTGACAGAGGAGAAATACCCACCACTGGCTTTATCAATAACTGTGTCTTTGTTCCACACAATTCCAGCAGCAAGTGGAGGCATTGTTGGTGGCATAGAAACCTTTTTTGTGAGAACCACTGCAGGGTGGCACTGTCTCGGTACAGTGCTCCTCTCAAGGGCACAAGACAGTTCTCTGATTACATGATGGAGAGAGCAAAAGAAAAACAACAGCTGTCTGTGGCCTGCCTGCCTGGCTTAGATTTACCACAACTCACTGGTAGTGTTGAGAAAAAACTCCATAAAAAATGCAAGAAGTTAGAAATTTCTATTGTTTGTGAGTGCTGTTGGAGATGTCTGACTGGCTCTCAGATGTGTTATTACATACGATGTTTCACAGAAAATGCTTCCTGGTAAATTGCTCTGAAGGATCGAGTTCCTTCTCCAACTTCAAACACAACAGCCACGGGAGGGATGGGTGTGCTCTGTGTGATATTCCCAAGCACATGAGCCATGAGGTCTTTGTGTGTGTACTTAACATGTTCAAGTAATTTATTGTTACACCAAACTT